GACGGGACTGAGTGCAGCGAGCGCAGCCCCACCGATAACGCGGCACAGAAGCTTTCCGAGCCCCTTTCCCGGCTCTCCCCGACCCCTGCCAGCATTGCCCCTGGGGGTCCCGGCCCCTCAGTGGCTTCGGCTCCGAGCTGCCCCGTGCTGTTGAATTTGCCCCGCGCCTCCGGGCTGCTCTTTGCACTGGAAGAGCTGCGCGGCTCTCCGCGGCTCTCCGGGCCCCGAGGTCCTCCCCGTTTTTTTCCCTTATTCCTGGCAGCAACGGAGTAAATGCGAGCAGGCAGAATGCTGGAGACCGCCCTGCCGGTCCCGGTGTCCCTGTCCCCAAGTGCAAATCCCTTATGAGCTGCTCTCCGTCCCCCGATCCTCTCGCAGCCCCACACCGGGGCCCTTCGAGGGAGCGGAGCGGGGAGGCTGCGAATCCTGCCCCAGCCCCAGAATAGGGAAGAAAAAGCCTTTCCTTTCAGCAGAGACTCATGCATCAAACTTCAATTTTCCGGACGATTGAATTAGTGATTTTTTTTCTCCTGAACTAAAATACACTTAAGTCTTTGGGATTAATTACCACGTTCTGGTCCCTCAGACTGTAGTATTAGTTATCGTTGCCATATTCGACATCAGCCCTGACACCTCATAAAATAAGGAACTGAATTTCACTGACTCAACCTGCTTTAGTCCTGTTGGATAATTCAGGAGGGGGCTTTATTCTCCGTCTGGGAGCGCTGTGTGAAGTGAACAAGATCAAATATGGATCTCCCCCCCCCCCCCCAAAAAAAAAAGAAGAAAAAGAAGCGGGGAAAACCCCCCCCTAAAGTGAACCACTGCAGATCAGACAACACCCCACACCGCCCCCTCCCCTCCCACATCCACACGAAATGCGAGGCAGTGCCAGCTTTAGGATGAAGGATGGGGAGGAAGGGGCTCTAGAGGATGGGGTTTGGGTCGGAGAGGGGGTAACCGTGGGCCGGGCTGCGGGCTGGGCCGAGCTCCCCCCGGGGAAGGGGACAGCCCGACACTGGGGTGCTGCCTGCGCCCCCCGCCCAGCACCCGGCGCACGTCCTACGCCCGTCCGTCCCAACGGAGGGACGCAACACAGCGACGTGGGGACATCCGGGACAGCGGCCCACTCTCTCAAAGCCTCCCCAGCGCTCTCACTCCATTTGGCCAAACTTCACATTTTCACTTGCACCGACCCTGAGGTCGTGAAGCCGCTTTCCCCGGGCTTTTCCCATTTGTGTGTCCATTATGCGTAGGGAATCCTTCGCTGCCCACCCGAAGCCGCAGCTTCTGCGGGCTGATTCCTTTAGAAAACACGATTCTGCCCATCTCCATCCCTCTGCCCCAGCGCGGGGCCGCAGCAGCCCGGGGGGTGAGAGGGGTGGGGGGGAGGGTGTAGCGAGAATCCGGACACTACGGTGGGGAGCGTTGCCTGGGGGAGATGGGGGGGGGGAAACGGGACCAGTTCTGTCCGCCCAGAGACCCACCGGGGCCGGGCAGGGGCTTGCCGCCCGTTGCTCGGGGTGCCGGCCCCCGCAAGACCGGCTGGTTCAGGGTTACGGGCACTTTAGGGGTTTGGGGGCACAGGAGGGGTTTTGCCTGCCCTCGCCCTCCGGCAGCAGCGCTGGGAGCCGCCCGGGAGTCGCGGTGGGTCAGTCCCATAGGGCCCGATCCAGCGCCGTCACCTACTGCTGCTGCGGAGAGACAGAGAGAGAGACATTAAAACAAGGTGAACAAATAAGGAACCCCACCCGGCCGAGCGACCTGCACTGCGAGGGAGAGCAAACCCCGAGCGATACCCACCCAGATAGGGAACAAATGCTTGGCAAACGGGGGGCACAAGCCGGTCCTTGGGTTTGGAGATAAAAATACATAAAGGCTTTTTTTTTTTTTTTTTTTTTTTTTTTTTTTTTTTTTTT